TGACCTGAGAACTTTTTGACTTGAGAACCGCCTTCCAATACGGATTAAGTTCTCAAGTCAAGACCCCACTGTATTTACCCATTGGAACGCATTAACCGGTTTTCAATTCATTCCAATGGGGTTTTTTCGCTTGACGATGATTTTGCTTAACAGCGATTTTCCTGGAATGGATTATCGTCGTCAAGCGGGGCACCACTGTACTGTGCTTGTTTCAGTGTGGCTCTAATTTATAAAAACCTTCAGCGCCTTAGAATGCTTATAAAACAGTGAAACAATCACACCTGTTAAAATGGCAATACAGTAAGTGCAAAAAAAGCAGCTTAATACAACACAGAGGGGAAAAAACTGTGGTTGTTATGGGTTTTTCAGGCTCTTTGGCCGTGTTCTGAAGGTTGTCCTTCCTAACATTTCGCCAGTCTCTGTGGCCGGCATCTTCAGAGGACAGCACTCTGAAAAAACTATCCAGCTATCTAAAAACTTCTCCCACTTCCTCTAAAAACTTCTCCCACTTCCTTGGACCCACAGCAGTATCACCATAACAAAAGAACAGCAGAGTTTGGGGTGTTTTTTCTTTTTTTTCCTTTGAGCTGGGCTGGAGAGATTCCCCAGCAGATGGGTCACTTTAAAGGAGACAACGCCAATTAAAACCATCCTTTCCCGTGTGATCAGGCACCTTTAGAGCTGTCTCATTGGACTTTTCCAAGACAGAAAACCTGTAAGATTTTTATCATAAGATTCATATTGTTCATTTCCAGGCTTTGGTGAGGATGATGAGATCAAACGGCATACATGGTTGCTTGTGCTGCTGCCTGGATGCTAATGATGGACGGATAACTTCCAGACCTCCCTTCTTGTACTTATTGATAAGATAATGATCTTGTACCTAAGTCTTTTAAATAATTACCACCTGTAACATAGAGGACACATGTCCATCCTGCTTCCTATTGGGCTGGAAGTTGAAGGACAGGGTTTTCCCCAGTCAGGCCTCATAAGGAGATCAGCCTGGCATTCCATATCTATCACACACCACACTTCCATTTCCCAAGGAGCCTCATCACAGAGCTTATATGACAGAAAAGATTCAGAAGCTATACAGAAGCCAACAGTTCTGCATGAATCGTCTGCCCACACCTTCCAGTATCTAGGCAAATGAAAGTAGAGAGGACAGGTTGCAGAGGCTGGTTTTAACTACAGCAAATTATGTTTTGACAAACCTTGACAGCATCTTAAAAAGCAGAGACATCACTTTGCCGACAAAGGTCCACATAGTCAAAGCTATGGTTTTTCCTGTCGTGATGTATGGAAGTGAGAGCTGGACCATAAAGAAGGCTGACGCTGAAGAATTGACGCTTTTGAATTGTGGTGCTGGGGGAGACCATTAAGAGTCCCCTGGACTGCAAGGAGATCAACCCTATCCGTTCTGAAGGAAATCAGGTAACTGATCATACATCCTTTCCTACCTCATCATGTACAGTCTCTCTCCACTTAAGGGGATGGTGCTAGAAAGCATTTTTCAAAAACATGCAGCTGCCAGCATTCGGTAGAAGACCGCAAAGGTGGATTAGGACCTGTTAGGCCCCTTGTTTTCAACCCCCACCATCCTGGAGAGTGCCTGTTATATTCTGTCATTGGGGTAAAGAGAACGGTTAAGCCTTGTAGCACATGGAAGGCTAGAACATTTAATTGGGCATAAGCTTTTGAGGAATACAGAACACTTCCTCAGATGGCGCTCCAAGGCTCTTAGCTGTAACTATTTCTCCGTTCTGAGTTTCAACAGAATGTATCCCCTGTAGTGTTGGCTGGTACCCAGTGCCGTTGGCAGAGCAGAAGGTATGGCATTGATGGATGAGTTAAAAGGTTTTATGCAGAGAAGGGGGAAACGTTGATTCTCTCTGTCTGTCTGTCTGTCTGTCTGTCTGTCTGTCTCTCTCTCTCTCTCTCTCTCTCTCTCACACACACACA